GACATTCAGGCAAGATGGCTGTTTTTTCCAGCTCTGCTCTTCTGTCCTCTCCGGCCAGTCTGGCGAACTGTTGACAGTCACTGTTGGCACTGCTGCATTTCAGGGAAACGCTGAGGAGCTGTTGAGTAGTCTGGTTTGTACGGCAGGCTGAGTCCCGGTACCTGGGCGAGTAGCACCGTGGCAGAGCTCTCTAGTCCCACTCTGTCCTGCATTTTAATGTGTTTAATCCGAAGGCTGTTGCTTTCTCTCACCAGTGCTGATTGCTTCTCCAAATACGAAGAAGCAAGGAAGGAACTTAATACAGGGCAGTAAAACAATGAGTGAAATTTAGCATAGGTAAGTGTAAAGTGATGTGCAGCAGGGATGGGGAGAATGACTGTGTGAGCATCAGGTATGAAATAATGTGCTCTGACTGATCATTACCAGAGAAATAAGATCCTGGGCTTGTTGAAATTTCCAGCTCAGCTAAAAACCAAATGGACAATATAATTATGCCACTGATTAAAGCTGTAGTGCATCTGCATGTTGGCTGTTGTGTGCACTTTGCATGCACAATCCCTTCATTCCAAAAAAGAGTAGAACTGGAAAGAGAAGTACAATAAGGGTGAACAGGTAGCTGGAACAGCTTGCCTAAGGAGGCGAACTCAGCAAGCTATGACTATAACCTGAAAAAGAAACATCTATAATGGGATGATATGTGCCTATAAGATCAGGAATGATGTTGAAAAGGTGACCAGGAACAATTGTTCACTATCTCTTCCAGTACAAGAACCAGGCAAGTTCTAAAGGCAAGGGGCAAGTTCAAAAAAGAAAGGAAAAGAAATGTTTCCTCCCATGGTATGTGTCATAACTCTGAGGCTACCTAGCTGCAGGTCCAAAAGCCACCTGGACAGACTCCTGGGGCAGTGCTGTAGGTGGTACTGCTCCGTATGACAGCTGATGAGTTAAGGGAACCGCACCCCATATCTCAGTTGCCTCCAGTCCCTGTTGTAGGATCCAGAAGTGGGATGTCATCACCTCTGATGTGGGTCTGGGGACCCGCATCATGCAGCACTTTGCAGAAACTGGAAGAGCTTCTTTTTAAGCATTAAAAAATGGCAGCTTCAGTAATCAGTGGCATTTTCCAGGCAGTAAGCAGTAATTTACCTTTCTCAGCCCTCCCTCCAGATGGCAACGTGCTGCCCAGGTGCCTGCCCTTCTCTTTTGCCTTAAGTGTGTAAGCGCATAAGCCTGCTGTTGTTCCCAGACAAATGGTCCATCCTCCAAGCAGAAGAGAAGCACACTGTCCTCCAAACTCCCAGCACCACGAAAGACTTGTTCTGCATCATTGCAGACAAAGTCTTAATGTTGCTTAATATTTCCTCACAACTTTCAATCTCTTGGGTTAAAATCTTCCAGTTTGCTGTGTGCTCCAGAGCAAATGTTAATCATCACTGTAAAACAGGCCAAACTTTAACGTGCCTGGAAAGAAGGTTAGAGATGGGATGGAAAAAATACCTTAAATTGTTCTAAGTAAATATTTTTCTTTAAATAATACTGAGACTTGAAGGATATAGGACAAGTTAGCTGAAATCTGGTGAGGGAATGAACCTGTGGACAACACGTTACGTGCACTTGCTTTGGGCTTGGGTTTGGTTATTCTTCTGAATGTTGGGAGCTAGAAGAGCAGGGGCTAATCGAAACAAAAATTCAGATTCTGAAAGTCTGTGCTTCTGCTTCTCTGTCAGCATGCCATGGGCATTTTTAAATGCGGTGTTCGTTGCCATGATAGCTGGAGGAACATTCAGTGTGTGTTTGGTTTTGCTTGTGGGGTGTTGGAAAGACGAAGGCACGTTGCAGGTGTGGTGGGTTGGGTCACTGTCCATGTCGCAGTCTGGATGTGAGTAGGTCCCAGATGTCCCCAGGGTTCAGACTGGGGCCTTCCTCAGGGAGAGGGAAAATCTGTAACTGGGCTTGGCCTGTTTTAGAAGTGTATGTGGTCATCTTGACTCTGTCGGTGATAATAGAGCGTAAACACATACACATTCTTCCTTCATGCATAATGCTGCTTCATGTTTAGGATTATTTAGCTTATCCATTACCTCAGTTGTCTGAGGACACACTGTAAAAAGCTATAGAAAAGGCATTTTAGGCTATGCGAATGACTTCAACATAAGGAAAGCATGACTAAGGGCTGAGAGAATGCACAATGAAAACTACCCTCTTCAGCCTGAAGAAAATTCCCAGAAAAACTAGGCATGCGGGAAATGCCTGGCTCTTAACGTAGCTGGTCATACAACATCTGTGGGCAGGAAGCCAACCCTCTGCAAATGCATCATGCAAGCATTATCGTCTTTGTAAACTTGTTTCAAAAAAAATAGGTATTTTTGGGGTGTATCTGATAGGAAACACAATCGAAGGACCATGCTTTTATCTCTTTCTCGGCCCTGGCGTCATATCTGGTCAGGCACATGTGCTCAATGACTTTACACAATAGAAATATGGGGGGGGATGGGGGGGAAGATCTTTAAAATAACCTGATTGTGTCATATTGGTGCATTTTGCTGCATCCAGAGCCTCCCTATGGGGCAGGTTTGGGGTGTTATTGCCTGGGCACTGTCCCAAGAAAGCGTTTTTTGGAATTCAACATGCAGACGTAGTTATAACAGCAATGAAAGCTTGCAAATGTGATTTCCTTCTTACCTTAAGAGCCAAGGAAGAGAGTAATCTTGTATTGTCAAACCTCCAGTTGCTAATAAACGCTCTCTTGTGGTGGTGTTCGAGCTAGCTGAGATCCCATGCCCACTCTCGCAGCTGTGTACTCGAACTCCTGTGCTGCTTCATCTCACTCTCCCACTCTCTTTTTTCCTCATTTGTTTCTGAACTAATTCAGCCATCACTTCGGTGCTTTTTAATCTTGACAACAATCTTGCTCACGTGCCCTCGCCGTCATGTCCCAGGCTTCCTGAGGCTCGTTTGTGCCTCGTGCTAGCACAGCTAGAGTCCTGCTGCTTCACTTCTGCTTGCTGCTGCTCTTCTCACGTCAGCATTTTGCAAAAGCGAATGAATGGGAGATGTGTCCGTACCCTTCTGCTTAAGGACCCACTTGGAATTTCATATGGAAATGTTTCACAGTGATTCACAATGTATTTCTGATGAATGAACTGTTCCTATAGAAAACCTAGAATATCAGGATTCTGTTTCCAGCAAGCACTGGAGAAAAAACAACTGTTTGGGAGCGTAGCGAAATCCAGGCGTGGTAGCTTTTTCCCTACTGACACTTGTAGTTCAGTGCAGATTTAATAAATATGTTTCCCTAATCCAGCCTTAAAAAGATTATGTAGGGAAGAAAAGAGAAGCTGCAGGTAGAGCATGAGTCTGCTGGCTTTGGTTACCAGGGAGAAGAGTCGCACCGGGTGCAAGCATGTCACCTGCTGCTAGATGTCTGCGAGATCAAGGAAAGCATAATAAAACACATCTTGGCAACATAACAGGAACAAAATTATAAATAGGGAAGTCAACCATGGTAAGCACAGTAATAAAAATGCAGCCAGTGAAGTAAAGGTGCAACGATTTTTTTTTTCCCCCAGAAAAACACATTAACCTTTTATGGAGGTAGATGTGACCTTGGGAACTCAGGAAAGTTTCATAACTACAGAAGAAACAAGAAATTACAATCTGATAACACTTCCTCAGGAATGCATGGCATTCCTCATTGTGAGTTTCATGTTCTCCACGGGATGTGAATGACTCAGGCTACAACATGAAAAATGTATCCAAACCTATAAAGGAATTACTGTAGGTGTGTTCACACGTGTGTTGCTTTGTTGGTTCCTCGCATGTTGTGGGTCCTTGTTATAATTCAGTTCTCTATAGTGGGATTTTTTAATAAATGAGAAATAGAACAAACGAATGACTTTGCAAATAATTTAATGGTAAACTTGAATGTGTCTAAAATCTAATCTCTGCTATGCAATGTAAATCTGTGGGGGAAACCTGAGAAGGGAATTGAGTTGAAAAATCTTGTTAACAGAATATCAATTTATTAACATATTACTGTATTTTTAAGCTGAAAAAAGCCTTTTCTTTCTTTTTGCATCTTTGCAATCCACGTGAGAACAGGGGGCTAGGAGAGACTCTGCAACACTTGCATTTGCTTAGGCTTTCAGTGAGACCAAAGTTTTTGAGCTTTGTTCACTTCTGCATCATTCTCAGTCTCTGTCAGGGTGAAGCTGATGTAAAGCTGCAGCGGTACAACGGGGAGTCAGCCGCGTTGTCTCCAGGCGTTCCCTATCTTTATTAAAAAGTTGAGCCTGATCCAAAACGTGGGATCTCGGGCTTCTCGTGTGCTGAGCATCTCTGCCTCTGAAATTCCAGCCAGGATCCAAATTTGTATATGAGCCCTATATTTATAAACCAAACCTCTGAAACCCACCAGCTCTGCTGTTCTGAGGGGGTCATTGTGTGGTCCCCTTGGGAACGAGGATTAGCGCCGACGCGCCTTCTCGCTCCCCAGCCAGGTGCTTAGTGAAAGAGTAACTGCTTGGAAAGCAGAAAGGAGGTCCTTGAAAAGAATTAAGATTGGGCTGATATCCAAGCTGGGAACTGTTCCTGTCCTGTTTGTGTTAATTCACGCTCATTTTACAAATATTGAATGATGGCTGCTTTTTTTGAAGGTGCCGAACACCTATAGTTTCCATCAATGCAAGCCGGAGTCTTGCATGCTCAATGAGCATTCCTAAAGGAAAACACATGGACGATGCTTACTGAGTGCCCTGCTTAATCCCAACTCTTGCAGGAACCGTTTTACAAAGGTTTTCCACTGCTCATTTCAGTTAGCATTGGTAGATTCTTCCTTGAAGGGCAGAGATGAAAGAGATCCCCTTATTGCTGCATAGCAAAACGGCTCTTGACCGACTTGGCAGTCGCAATTAGTTATTTTTTGAAGGCTCTGTTCTCCCATTTGTTTGGGGCTGCTGATGTGTTTGGTCTAAATAGCTGCTCCTTGTGTCTCTCGGCAGACCATGCAACAGATGAGCGACCACCGCTACGACAAGCTGACGGTGCCTGACGATGCCGCAGCAAACTGCATCTACTTAAACATTCCCAGCAAAGGCCACGTCCTGCTGCACCGAGCCCCCGAGGAGTACCCGGAGAGCGCGAAGGTGAGAGCCATACTGAGGGTGCCTGGGACACCCCCCCCAGCATCCCGGCTGGCCTCCACGGGAAGTCGGTGGGAATTGAAATCAGGTGCTTTCCAGAACGGGTTGTTGTATCCTGTCATGGAAATAACAGATGGGAAAAGGTGGGAGGCCTGGGCTCCCTTCTCATCGCCACTACTTTTGTAATTACTTTGTCTCTTCTGCCCCCGTGCTGCTTCTGCATAACTGGAAGCAGCAACAGCTCCCCTCCCTGCAGTACTGATGTGCGTGAATCCCAAAGCCAGAGGCCACGTATGCTGAAAACCTTCGTGTTCATTACAAATGACGAGGTGGCTTAGCACCTGCTGAGAAATCCATGCCTGTTTGCTCTGTAAATACTTAGAGAAAAGGGAAAAGAGGCATAAAATGTAATGATTTCTATTGCCCTTTTTTTTTTTTTTCCCCCTCAACAGGTTTTTGAAAAGCTGAAGGACCACATGCTGATCCCAATAGCCAACACAGAACTGGAGAAAGTAGATGGGGCACTCACCTGTTGCTCTGTGCTGATTAACAAAACTTCAGAGTTATGAGTTTACAGAGTCCCTCCCTTGTACCTGGCAATAATGTTACACACAAGGTAGACGAATCTGTATCCACACTTTTATTATTTTTATTGACAATCTACTGTACCACTGTGCTACTAACCCTTGTTTACAAATTTTTTTGTGTGTTTTTATTATGTCCTTGCAGATGGTATTTAAGGTGGATGTACAGTTTGTTGGGGGACACATGACTAGAGTATGTTAGTCCCATGGGCTAGCAGAAGACAATTATAATTGCTAACCCCTAGCTTTAGTGATTTAACTTATCTGTGTGAAAACTTTATGAAAACCAACTAATTCTCAGCATTTCAAGCACCTCTGTTGTCTTTACACTGTTCCCTTCTGTCTTTTTTTCTCTTGCTTCCTTGTTCTGCATCTTTTTTTTTTTTCTTCCTTGGTTCTCTTTCAGTGATGCAAGGTGTCGGGGGGGCAGAAGAAAACTCAGTGGGCTCGTGAACTCGGTATCTTGTGTAGCAGGGAAGCTTTCCATACACTAGCTGGAACAGTGGGCAGTGGATTGTGCTCATGGTCTCAGCCATATCACGTTGCTGCTGCTGGGCAGAGTTGTGGCTGGAATCAGTTTCAGGCGCCAGGTACCAACTTCAGAAAAAGCTTCCTCCGATGGGAGCGTTCAAGGACAATGTCTGCCTGGGAAAGTCAAATGACAGAAAAAAGAGATAGTAGTGCAGCCACACAAGATACATCCCGCAGGTTCAGGTCCCAGTTTGCTGCTTAATGCCGTGGCTTTCAATTTGGTGAGAATGGAAGAGGAGATTTTAAATAGGCCAGAACCCGGGGAGCACCCAGACCATGAAAATGAAGGACTGTGAGATGCTTTTGGAAAATTTAAGCCTACAAAAATAGTCTGAAATTACGGGGGGGGTTAATTATCTTTGTTTACTTGTTTTTTTAATATGTCTCCTTTCTGCTTTCTCCTGTTTCGGAGGCCACTTACTGGCAAAATTCAAAAGAAAAATGTGATAGAAGGAGTTCAAGGACAGCTATTCCTGGATTATGCTTATGAATAAGGGAAGCTATTTTTTCCTGAAAGATTGGCATTTGTACTTTGTCTGCCCTTGAGGCAGTTTTCCTTGGAACAATAATCATCTTTTTTTTTTTAATTGCATGAATATTTACTGTGGTATTCAGTTAAAACAAATACAGTTTTTGTAGCAAATTCCACAACATGTTTGCCCACTGAGTCATACTTTTTTTCACTACAGTAAAGTGAAGCATACCCCATTGTATTCCCATACTTCTTTTTAAACCATTTGTAAACTACGGATGGAGAAATTCCCAAACAGGCAGTAGTGGGAACCCTCTGGAGACTGACGAATAGTCTGAACACATTATCAACTTCCTAGACATCTCCTCCACCTTTCCTGAAGCACTTGTGGCGTGTTGCTACGGTACGGTAGGAAGCGAGCAGAGGGGCTCGGGCAACGTGGTCTGCAGGAAAGCAAACAGTCTGAGTGCATACATGGGTATCCTTTGGAAACCTGCGTGCTTTCTTGTGCAGTCATAAGGGAGGAAACATGAATACTCATATCTCTGACTTGCTCCTCAACGTATCTCTCGCTTCATCTCCGTGGCTAAGGAGGAGAAAACCTCCTGGCAGCTACCGGAATGTACCTGATGCTTTGTGAGCGCACTGTATGTTGCGGTGTCATGAGGTATCACGAGGGAGAGAGCAGCGACGAGCAAACACAATGTGTGTGCAAAGAGGGCATGTCCCAAAGGAAGTCTTTAGCCAGCCAAACAGCAAGTGCTGTTTCATGGCTGTGTGCTGTCCCAAAGGGTTCTCCTAATGTTTCCCCTTTGTCTCCTCCATTCCCATGTGCCGTCATTTAAGCCTGACCCAGGTGATCCGTCTCCTACCTTCCCTTGGTGCTTTTTAAGTACCTGATAAAGCGTCTTGCATTTTAAACGACTAGACATTAAACAAAGATTTTCTGCTGCAGAGTAACTCCGTAGTACTTAACTGTGGCCTTCCAGAGGCGAGCCGTACTCGGTTAGAAACCTGTGCAGCCATGGGAGCTGTCATACAAAGCCAGAACCAAATCCCCCCCACTCTGCCCGTGCACCTCCTGGGGCCTGGCCTCCATCCATGTCCTTCAGCTCCTCTTCCCTCCTCTCGCTACGGAGCCAGAGCATCCAGTTACGCTGGGACAGCATTAGGCTGTGGGATTTCTATTCAATACATCTCAAACTTTCTGTTGTGGTTTTGATTTTTATTTTTTTTTTCCACCCTCTTTCACCTGTTTCTCTCTTCTAGTTTATGGCATGATGAGCACTTTTCTCTTTGAATCCCAAGTGATTTTGCCTTCTGTTGCCTCAGTTCTACTTCAGTTGTCTTTTTCTGCATTCTTCCCTCTTTCTTCCCGCTTTCTCAGCTCACTCCAACCCGTTGGTGGGCTATCCTAAACCTCCTTGAGTAGGTGCCAGGAGGGAGGAGAAACTGAGGCAACACTTTGGCTCCGAGCAGCTTCTTTTGGGCTGGAAAGGTGATTGTCAACAAGAGCCATAGATCCAGACAACGGCAAGGGTGGCTCCTCCAGAAAAGAGAAAAATTTGTGGAGGATATTGTTGATATCTTGTGTCCCTGAAAGAATAGAATAGGTGACAATTAATTCACCTGGCTCCTCAAGGGAGGGAGAGGGGGAGTCGGGATCTCAGAGCTGAGAGGTTGGTCTTTCACCTATACTGCTATTTAGATTTCCTTGCCTTCAGGGCTGCATTTTGGTATACAGAAAGAACAGGAGAGTGGCTGAGGGACCAGAATTCCCTCAGGTGAAGATTTCTAGTGTGTTCAAACAGTCTAACGTCAGGCACGGGATTGAGGTGCTCTAAATCACACCTTAGCCTGATGCCAGAAGTTACCTGGGCTGGTTAGTGGGATTACCCTCACCTCTCTGCTTTTAGTGTTACTCTTTACTATGGCATTATAAAGCTAAAACATTAAGAGCTCTTCAGGTTGTGCGTTTGCAGTGTGGTACTAAGAACTAAAATCATGCCAAAGGCATCTGGGTGTTTTTTTCTGTTGCCCAAATGAAGAATTCAGTTGTGAGGACATTTCTGCTGTGACACACATGCATCTAATGGGCATCTTGTACCTCTCGTCACCAGAACGTTTCTCAGATGCCTGATATAAATCATCATCGTTGATTAATATAAATAATAAAATGAAATCCCAAACCAAAAAAGGAGACAAGACACTGAACACTAATAGCTGCCCACATAAAATACTTGATAACAACTGTCAGGCTGTATGACACAGTAGGCCAGTGCAGTTCTTGTGGTTAATAGCTCAGCAATGGGGCTTGAATTACTCATCAAAGGGTTTTTCCTTTGACCAGTCAGTTTAGCTCAGTTCAAACGAAAGAGCTACGATGTGCATTACAGATCTCTCATGGGTGTTATCTTTACTGTGAGGTTAGGAAGAGCTGTGGTAGGTGGGTGTCTGTCTTCACCAGAATGTGAATACAGTGTGTCTCTCTGCAATGAAAATGTGAATGCATACTGTACCTTACAAGATAAACTTGAATTCTTCCATTTCTGCATTTTTGTCTTTCCCATGCTAGTATACTCCTTTTCAGTCTTAAATAGATGCCACTGTATGAAGCTATGCTCTGGGTTTTTTTGGTGATAGGTACAAAGCTCACAGGCAACACTGTGTCCAGTTTTAAAAACAAAAAGTCAGGGCATAGAATGCTGTTTGTTCACAGCAAATTTGGGGTGAAATACGGGGGCGGGGAAAAAGAGCTTTTGATTTTATTCAGCTTCTTATACATTATATCATGAAGTCAGCCAAATTACGTTGATAGAAAACAACATTCACATGGAACCATTTGTGGAAAATAATTTGCTATTTAAGATTCACCGGTTTTGCTTTTATCAGTAAGGAAGCTGAAAAGATAAGACTGCTTAAAGGATGGTAATTGTACGGGGGCGGGGAAAAAGAGCTTTTGATTTTATTCAGCTTCTTATACATTATATCATGAAGTCAGCCAAATTACGTTGATAGAAAACAACATTCACATGGAACCATTTGTGGAAAATAATTTGCTATTTAAGATTCACCGGTTTTGCTTTTATCAGTAAGGAAGCTGAAAAGATAAGACTACTTAAAGGATGGTAATTAAGTGATTGTGAACAAAGTATTGGACCTCACATGTATTTTCAGAAAAGTTTTACCTGGACGTATGAAGTAACTTGTAGAGAGTTGCATGTGAATTGTGTTAGTCACTGGTTTCCATTGTATTGTTCTGCAGTGCACAGGTATGACTACTGAACACAGAAGTGTTACATTTCATCAAACTTACAATCCTCTCGCAGTATATAGTCCCCCACTTTTGTGCCAAAAACATCAATACATTCCACAATTTGTTCTAATAGAGGTTTGCACTTTTTTTTTTTTTTGGGTGACTCTTGTGGTTTCAATACTATGTATCCCCATCACGAAGGAATAAAGTGTCAGTTGTACTGTGCGCTGGGTAGTTTCCGCCTCTTGTTTTGAAACTGGAAGCCTAAGGCTTTTAATTTAACGCTGTTTCATGCCATCTTTTTATTTGGAAGCTTGTTACGTGCCTAGAAATAAAGCCAATTATAGACACCAGTGCTAAAAACTTTAAGCCAGTTAGAAGAAATCTTGACACCAAGATCATGATTTTGCCTTTGTGTTCTACATACAGTGGTTTTGACTAAATTTTACTATTGCCCAAGGTAACTGAACAGTTGTTACTGTAGTACAGTATTTTCTCTGTAGTTCCTGTCCTTGGGGTAAGTTACAAAAGGTGAAACTAGAGGTTTAGTGGCGTGACCATTAGGGTTACATTACTCACGTAGCTCTTGTGCCTTCTCCCCAGGGTGTCGAGAGAGGGGACCACATTTCAGACACTGCTCTGCGGTAACGTGACGGATGGTCGCATGTTTTAGATCTAAATACGACTTGTGTGCCACAAATAGCGCACGTGGGGCTAATCCCTGCTTGTACCCTTGTGCTCTAATACCGCCAGGCTGCGATATTGGGATTGTGCCTTCCTCCAGGCTCCAGGGAGGGGGGTGCAAGGGCTCGTGGGCCTCCAGTGCCACCTCGTGGCGATCCAAGTTGCAGTTCTCCTTTAAGAAACCCAACACAAATTAACAGTACTGTTGCAAAATTACTTTCAACCTGCACAGCTTTCCTAGTAATAGGGCTTTAAATAATCCAAAAATCTGATACTCTTCTTGCTGGAGAAGCAGGGACAAGGAAAGATTCCACTGTAGCTGATCTAAATACAGCCTTTGCACTAATTTAACTACACTGGTTAAATGTATGATTTTTATACTCATGTATTTAAATCAGTCCTATGTCTAATGTGGATACATTTAGCTTGGTGCAATTAATATAGCCAACTGCTGCGTTGACATGCACCTTTGTGGACCCTTATCTGCAGGAGAGGGTT